ACATGCAAGACACGAAGTTTAGATTTGACGTGTAGCTCTACGCATCAGAGCAGCAAAGACCGACTGATTATATTCTTTGAGATGTGACCAAACCAAGGCTTCAGACCCAAAACTACCCCCCAAAACGTGGAAGACTTAACATACCCAATGCAAATTGTCCAGTCAAAATCCCATCCATAAGAATGAAATGTCCTTCTTTCAAGGACAACTGGAATTTCCACTCATTTCTAGACCAGAAGTAAAAAAGCTACTGGTTGATCTTAACGTTTTAAAAAAACCTCAATTCCCCTTCATTTCTCAACTGACTTGTAACTGGGTTTCACATTTCAGTATCTCCGGTAGCCCATCATTTGTACTGTCCGCTACGTGCCCACAGCTGAGGCTGTGAAAAACTCCAGATCTGTAAAAAGCCTGTTTGAAATGTTCCAAGTTCAAAGGAAAGTCAGAGCAGTCACACACAGACAAAGCAGTAGAGAGAGGAGTGATATGCTCCGCGAGTTGATGACTAGCTTAAATGGTATTTTCCCAAAAACACCCTCGCTAGATTACTGTGAGTTACTGAAAATGAATAGTTCCCTTTTATGAACCTCATTGCCACCATGCTGACTAATGGAGTGATGAAGAGTTGAATCAGGGGTGTAGGTTGTAGCCGTGTTGGTCTAAGGACATAGGCAGACAAGGCTCTTTGGGTGAATCTGATATCTACCCAGATCAAATCTTCGGGTGAATCACATATCAGATTCACCCAAAGACCCTTGTCTGCCGAAGAGTTGAATCCACATTTGTGGACATCTTATCTCATTACATTTGGTGCTGAGAACTTAGAAAGCCTAATAAGAGCTAAACTTAACTTTATTGACACTATTCTGGACACCCAAATGTACTGAGCAATACATACAACGCACTTCGACTTTTTCTCCTCTTAGCTCTTAGACGGTGGTTTCCACAAAGGCGTGAGTGCATGCTCCTAATTCCCAATGCCAATAGGAGAAGTGAAAGCTCGGGTGCACTGCAGAATCACACCGTGACTGAGGATAACTGTTTCCTTTCACACACCCAATGTTGCTCTTATTCCTGTCCCAAATTCACAAGCCCAGAGGACGACATGTCCAAACGTCCTCAGTGCTCTGAGGTGCCCAAATGGAGACACTTTAAAGAAGGTTTTCAAGAACTGCTGAAGCCTGCCCTCTGAATAAGCAAGCCCCTCTGAAGGCCTCTTAAACCAGCCACCCGAAACAGAGCTAACCAAAAATCACGAGTCTCCTTTGGGAAAAAGTCAGCTGTGACCCTCACTGGGTTGCTGCCACAATATTATTGCCCAAGAAGCAAGCAAGAGAAAAAAAGAGTTAGCCATCAGGTCTCCCTCATTTCAATTTCCCTTTGGTCATTAGCAACCACGACACCAAAAATGGCAAGAAACACAAGGAAAAGATGCCCCAGATGGCTTAAATCCTGCACACCCTTGCCATGAGGCATCCAAATATGAAATAATCACTGAGCTTTGCATGACAGAGAGCAACTTTTCCCAGTCAAGACCAATCAATCCCACTTTAGCTGCCTGTGGGACAGGCTAGCAATGCTCTCCTCATTCTGTGGAGCAATGACTAGTCCTGGGTCACGAATCCAAGTTGTCGCAGGGACCGGAAAAACCATCTGTGTCCCCTTTGCTATCAGTGTTTTACTTCTAACTACCAACCCACGCGGTGCCTCCTGCAACCAGAGTCTGGCTGGAACGATCACCTGGTCTGTCCGACGGCCGGACAAAGCCCACAGCCTCCATAGAAAGGACTCGTTTTCTTCTTGGCCAAGGGCTTTAGTCAGCAATATGTTATCGTTAGACCTCCAAAGTCTGGAACTTGATCCAAGGAAAGAGGGAGATCCTTCTGCCCGGAGAAGGCAGCTGGGGATTCCCATGTACCCCTGGGCGGCATAAAGCTGGTCATTAATACAGGAACTAGCGGTTGCAAAATGAAAGCAGTAGGTAATAAGTTTAAAACTAATGAAAGACAGGTTTGGGGGGTTTTCATGCAGCGTGCAATTAAAAAGTGCAGCTCGTTGCCACAAGTAGTTGTGGAAGCAGATTCAAAAAAAGAACTGGACAAACTTGGAGGAAAGGGGTATCAGCAGGTATTGAGCACGGGAGTTAGGGGCACGGCCTCTGAACGGGAACTTCCTAGACCTGAAATGCTGGAAGCTGCAAAGGAGGGGAATAGTGGAAAACAACCCCCTCGTCTGATCCAGGTATCCAGGTTGTATTGGTCCAGAGGCAAAAGGAATCGGGACTCGTGGTAGGGGCGATATATTTTATTAGACCAACTAGATGTTTGCAAAAAAATAAACCAGACCCAGTTCGCTCTCCTCTTCAGCATCCGCTCTCTGCCGCTGGGTGACACAGGAGGCTGGGCAAGACGGACCTGTGGTCTGACACTGTCCAAGCACCCGACCCTAAGCTTTTACTTATGGTGGAAACCTAGAGCAAAGTGGGCACAGAAGTGTCCTAATGCCCAGCTAGTGTAAATCTGTGCTGTGTCACTGCAGCCTATGACAACTTATACCAAGGAGGCTGTCCAGGGGGACAGCGCGGGATTTGCCCTTTTGGAAGCCTTTTTCTTATTATGAAGCACCTGAATATCAACCCGAAACGTCCCTCCTGTTGTAAATGGTAATGCCCCTCCACTCAGAAGCAGCTTATAAGGTCTGCTCCGCATAAACACAGAAGTACACGCCCCGGCCTTTTTACTTGATAATTACATTTTAGCTAGTTCCCAGAGTTATTAGTAATTGCTATCTAGCCCGGCCTTCTGGTTTGGAGGACAGAAATAACTATTTAAGTGGTATCTGAAAATGGAAACACCCTGCACCACTACACTGGGCTCACCATATAATTAAATGGTCAACCGTTACCATGCGCTGCATATGAAAGGCTCTTACATGCCGTAAGTGCCCTGAAACTGAAAAGTGTTATTGATCCAAGTAATGAATGGGCTCCAGGAAGAATTTTTTGTATGTGAAGTCTGTTTGGCCAGTGGGAACCTAAATTAAAGACTCCTTTGCTCTTGCCGTAGTTACACAATTGCAGTTCAATATAGAAACTCATTTTGGTCTACTGTCCAGCTTCCCGGGGTTATTTAACTTCTGAGCTGCTTTCAACAGGGGCAAAACTAGGATGTGGATTCAGTTCACAGCTAGTTTTTGAAGTAGAAGGGAAAAAGAAAGGGAATGTGTTCAGCTGAGTAGTTCCCAACACGTTAAACTCCAGCCTCAATTAACAGCTTGGCTGGACAGTCTGCGACCATGAACTGCAACACGAAACATGAAAGAAAAGCAGCATTTTAATTAACAAAGGCTCCAGCGTCTGTCTACCTACCGTTTTGGAACAACAGAAACCCCCTTGCACTCCATAAATCACAAACTCATAAAACAAACCCCTTCAACTGCAAGTTCCAAATAATAGTCCAAAACTAAATTAGGCAATAAATTTATTTCCCCATCAGCTGGGGGAAATTGGCTGTTCAGATAATCAGAAGAGTAGATGCCTTTGCACAGCATATGCCTGGTAGCTCAGGAGAGGTAAAGTAATTCATAGCTCTTAATAAATGGCTCATCGCTTTTAAAGCTACATCACCTGCAGAACAGAAATGGTCTCTTACAGGGAGGCTCCCCTTAGCCCAGTATTCCTCACAGCAACATTGCAGAACAAAGACCACCGATTTCAAACACATGGATTTCAAACTGATCATCTCCTGACAGCTACACGAAGACTACCCCATCTCTCTAGCTGGGGCCTCACCCAGAATTCAGGACTTCTCTTAAATTAAATAAGTGCTTTTTTCTCTCTCTTCTGACACAGCAAAAACAGGGCCTAGATCGATCAATCGATCTATCTATCTATAGCGATAGCTAGATAGCTATCCCTATCTATAGCGATAGCTAGCTAGCTAGATAGATACCCCTATCTATAGCGATAGCTAGCTAGATAGATAGCTAGCTAGATAGATATCCATATCTATAGCGATAGCTAGCTAGATAGATAGCTAGCTAGATAGATATCCATATCTATAGCGATAGCTAGCTAGATAGATAGATAGCTAGATAGATATCCATATCTATAGCGATAGCTAGCTAGATAGATATCCATATCTATAGCAATAGATAGATAGCTAGATAGATAGATATCCATATCTATAGCAATAGATAGATAGCTAGATAGATAGAAAAAACTTGAAGGACAAAACCCCGTGGGGTGGCTTTGCCAAGGGGCATTCACAGCAAAGCAAGGCTAACTCAGGGGCCATTGCACCAAAGAATTTAAGCAGATAAAGCAAGGCTGATTAGGGAAGGGGGAAACAATAAAAATGAGGTGAAGCAACTTGCTCGTGGTCACACAAGTCAGGGCTGGAGCATGGAAGAGAATCCAGGTCTCTTGCTCCCACACCAGCGCCCAGTCCATTGGACCATGATGTCTCCCCAGAACAAATAATTGTAGGAATACAACAATTGCAATAATTGGTTCAGAATAAAAGGGTTTCTCATCTCGTGCCTGGGAGACTCATTCGTTTCTTGCTGTACATGAACAAAAAAGAAGAACTTGGAAAGAACCCAAGAGCCTCTGGAGAATTTGATATTTGGGCTCAACTGCAGGTTGATGAGGCATACACCTGCCTGGCGTGAAGTGTTATACCAGGCCTCCGGGGCAGGGGGGTCAAGCAAGAGGGACCAAACCAAGGATGGAACCGGGGGACTGCCTGATCCCCAAAGCAGCATGAACTGCAACAGCAGATTAAGCCTCCTTAACCACAGATGTCACCAGCTCAGCCACCTCTCCACATGGCCATGCCATTAGGAAAGAAGAGAGTCACATTGACGTGGTATAAATGACACAACACTACAGAAACCCAAGTTTGTCTCACATCCTGCCCAGTACCGCCACGTTTACTGGAAAAACCACATGGTCCCACCAGCACCAAAACACTTGCTAAGGGATGTAGGTGGACTCTTACCTTCCCAAAATCCCGCACGTCAAAGAGGTCGAAGGGATCAAACAGCTCACTGTTCCTTAACCCAAATTTGTCGTGGCAGACTTTTAGGAACGTCCGGATGTTCTTCAAACAGAGAAACTGCAGCAAAGAAAAGAGAGCTCGTTATATAATTGTAATTGACTGGAGACAGTAATCAAATTTGCATGCAACATTAAGTTAAAGGCACGGAAACCTGCTCTCTGAGAAGATGCATCAGTTTACCAACCCGTTTTGTAGAAGCAAGCGCCACGCTGCTCCATTATAAAGTAGGTCCTGATAAGACTGCACCAGCAACAGAAACGCCTTTGAAACCAGATGCCAAGCATGTGCTCACAACCAGGTAGTCTTACCTTCAGGAGCACAATGCTCCCTTTGCAAGCTCTAGGGCAAATATAAAATTAAGCTCGGACAATGTAAGAAGCCATTGCTGTGGTTGGCTTTATTTTGACTACTTCCAATGTGCATCTATTCCAGGCTCCCCCCGTGCACCACACGCATGCACACACACACACACACACACACACACCCCAGATGTAACTGGTACATATTTTTTTCTTCCTAGATAAGAAGTTATTGGTAGCTGATCCAGGTGATCCGCTTGACTTATTCCTTCCACTTTTCTCCTCCAATGCACAAACTGTCAGCTAACTGGAACACTAGACATCAGAAAGCCAAGTGTGGCATATTCACAACAGACAGGCGCCAGTCTTGGGTCCAACCCAAAATTAACCCCAGGCCCAAATCACCGCCAGTTGAGTAAGCAGAGACCCAGAAGGATATGAATAAAACTGACAGCTAACACAGCAGATAACATTCACTACAGAGATGGTTTTGCTCCTGTGTTTTATGTTAGCCCACGTGAGAAAGCACAGCTCTCCTCTCATGTTTGAACATTGCAAAACACTTAGGATTGCTCAGCTACACTTTACAGCGCACCTGGAGTAATCCAATGCCTCTGTTTTTGTAGTAACGATTGACTTTTGCATTGTGCCCATTTGTGCGAGCTGCAGGGGTTTTATAATTGTGTTCTCAGAGAGGTCTCCTTCCAGGCTGAAGCAGGGCCATAAGAGCAATAGGGATGAAAGCCAGGCACTGCTTCATTTGCTTGGCTCTCTCCCATGTTGCTAATTAGAGCTGACTGCACGAGGGTGCAACGAGCTAGTGCTGCCTTTCCACTATCTGCAAATGTTTCGTGCAAACACTCCCCAGTTTATTCAAGATTACGTGCGAGTTTCTTCAAGCCACCGCTCCGCGTAGGGCAATCGTTCACACGTTGGGGGTGCCCATCGAGGAACAGAAACGATATCGCGTGCCCGTTCCCTGCACGTTTCCAACAGGATGTTTTTGCTCGAGGTTGTGTTGAGGTGGTTAGGTAGCGACCTGCTAGACGCGTGGCATTGTTCGTATTTCTCAGCTGACCATCGAACCGACACGGCACAAATTACTGCTCGCAACTCGACAGCTAGGCTGAGTGTCTGACCATAACCACCTTGGCCCATCTCTTGATGACATCAGTGGCAAGCATAAAAATATTATTGTACGTGGGGCTATATTTAAGGTCCCTGGCAATGGCTTGCCAAGATCTAGCAATAGACTCGATCAGCCATGCAGGCAGGGACGTTTTCCTGTTTTCCATCGCTCAGCCCAACTGTGGTAAACTGCAGAGTGACAATGCAGTGCAAGCACTAGCGCGCAAGATGCAAGCATGACTTCATCAGAGCATTTTCATTAGTTACCTAGAGCTTTGAAGGTGGGGGAGGTAAAAGATTGGGACTAATTTTATCCTTCCAGGGGTCTCTCTCTCGCCCCCACCCCTCAGCACATTTATTCTGACTTCAGCGAAAACTTCTATACAACTCACGACACAAATTCCCCTCTCGCTGATGTTGGGGATTGGAGAGCACATCTATTCCCCAGGCCCCAGCAGGATTTTTCAGCGTATGCAAAGCAGTCAGCTTATAGGAGGGGGCTCTTTTTTTTTTTTTTGGTTAACATCTCATTCATCTCCAATTTCCACCACAGACTTATTTTAAATCCTTTTAAGCCTCCAATTTTCAAAAAGTTAATGACAGAGGTTATAACCATAATTACACATGGTCAGAAGCAAACTTCCTTTAACAGTCCTGAATGCAAAACTGCCTTCCCCGTCTGAAGTATTCATAGCATGTGCCTCTCCCTGTTCTCCTAAAGCATTGGGCAGAAGGAAGAGCAGACGAGACGGTCTCTGCCCAAGGCAGCACTCCTAATAAAAGGAAAGAAAAATCTCCCATTGCGGTTAGAGGTCAAGACCCAACACCTGAAACCTGAGATTCGTACCTGAGACTTTCCATTCAAACTCCCCAACAACTCAAACTTCACAACACCTCACTTTGGAAAGATTGCAGTGGAAAACGTAGCAATCTGGGCTCGCTAAAACTCTCTCCCTAATAGGATTTTTGCTGGTGAGTGGGCACTAGCTATTGGTAGGTTGGATAAAACTAATCTTATACTAGCCCATCCCCAACTAAGAAGGGTTAAGAGCAAATTATCTTTCATGCATCAGCTACCTCCTGCATCTTTATTCAAATTTGTACATCTTCATGCCAAAGGCTCCACTACTAGGTGTAACATTAGCACAAAAATCCCCGTAGTTGTACTGTTGCTGCTTCCACAGCTCCCGATAATGTTTGCAGAAGACATTGGGTTTGAGACTAGGCAATGAGACAGTTGTTGAGTTCAGGAAGATGACAGGGTCTAGGAAGAATCCAATAAGCTATTTAAAATGCCACTGAAAAGTCCTGATATGAAAAGCCATGAGAGACGGTAACAGCAAATCTTTAAAATAGTCTACCAAAGGACATGTCTGGACCTTATCATAGTAGCATCAAACAATGTGTTAATGACATTTATCCCAGCAGTGTGCAGTAAGAAAGCAATAGCATCCCCCCACCCCAAGACCTCAAGCTTCAGTCCAGTGGCTTATTCATAAACCAGCCTTCATCCCAACCCTACAGGGATCCAACGATTGCTTATGAACTGCTGAACACTACAGAGGATGAGCTCTACTTCATTTCCCCATCCATGAAGTATTTCCCTTAACCTAACTGCTTCATGTACATGTTTCATAGCTTGTTTGCTATGAAATCGTGGGGTTTGATGGGGCTGAGCCAAGGGCGAGATGTTAATAATTAGCTGCAATTAAATGAATGCAACCTAGCACCGGGCTATCCTAATGCCCAGCCATACAAAATCCACATTAAAAATCAATCACCTCCCCTGGTTCAGTTCAGCAATGTATTCCACCCCCTGCCTCCCAGAAAACATGAGCTGAGAAAGTATCTTCCTGAATTGCAGGGGAGGAGGGGAATAGGGACACGGTGCTTCCCTTGATCCTGACTTCAGTGAGTGTGCATCACAGGCATGCACGTGTGTGCACATTGCACACACATGCACAGAGTCAAGGGCAGTATTATTCACTGAATTATTGCTTTTACTTTCCCTTCTCCTTGTTTTATGATGAATTACGTGTGTCAAAGTTCATGAGGAAGTCCATGGAGTTTGTCTGGGCATAAAAGAATTAAAAAAAAAGAGAAAGAGCCAATTTCTTTTCCACGCCTCCTCACGTGGTGGAATCAGTGGACTAATATATACATGAAGAGCACATAATAGGGCCTTTTAGTGAAGGCCTACATTTATTTAGGGAGCCTGGCAGCTACATGTGCTATTCTAGCTCTTGGCTCCTTAAAAGCACTTAGATGAAGAGGCCAGCGGGTCGGCACCTCCGCACACCTCCACTGAACAACCGCCTCATTCATTCCTGGGACGTTGCATGAAAAAGCCTGTGGGCGTTGAATGCTTCCAATGCTTTTACAGGATGTCGTGGTCTGCCCTCTCTCGTACAAAGGTGCTTCAAACTGATGGCCTGGAAAGGACACATGCCTCGGCCTTCCAGCACCCCGCACACCCTTCTCCAAATCAGCGGAAAGCATCTCTCCGCTGCGCTGCCTGCGCCCACCTCACCTGGCTGCACCGGGTTCCCTTAGCCCACCGTTATCTAGCTGTGGGACGCACTTACAGCCTGATTTTCCTCTCATTTTTGCACAGATGGAAGTCGACTCATCTCATTGGCACCTCCCAATATTATGGGGTTGAAGACGCAGAGGTTCAGGCCATGCGTGCAACCTGCTCTGTGTGGCATTGCCCCGGGAGGAGGCTCTGCATCCCCAGGGGAAAACCTCTCCCACAGCAGAGGCTACTCCCAGCTGCAAGGGACCGGACACATTTCTTTGGCAAACTGATTTGCTTTCACATGCTGCTTGCCTGCCTTGTCAGCGACTCATCTGAGAAATAAAAAATACATTCCCTTCCCCCAAATCTTTTACCAATTTATTTTGAAAGGAGGTTTCTCCAGAGCCTGAAGGCAACTTCCAGAGAAATCAGCATCACATGACGCTGGCTAGAGCTGATGCTTCCTCGGGAAGCAAGGACCTTGCAGGAACCTCTCTCCAGCGGGAATGCTTGGAGGCACGAGAGCTTTGGGGGCAGGGTAAAAATACCAGGCCGAGGGGCTTCATTAGCCAAAGGCGAATTTAAAAGCAAGGGAGGACTTGGGAATAAGACTGAAGCAGAGGGAGCTAGAAACAAGCTTAATAAAACACACTGGACCCTAAAGCCAAACCAGCAATATTTAGGTGGCATCTCTGGTCAAGCCATGACCCGACAACAGCTGCTGTTTTTCACAGCACAGCTGGCCAACAGGCTGCATGCAGGAAAACGTGCAGCCGCTCAATTCTTCTCCAGCCATTGCACGGTGCAAGGGCACAGCCCCGGGGGGGCCCTGGCTTTGCACTACTGCAGCCCCCATCACAGCCTCCCGCACTGCACGTGGCCCCTGGCCGCTTAGGTGGACAGCCCCACTCTATACAAGTGACACTCGCCCCATCCACCAACTCCTTGTCCTCTTCAAATGCAAAATCACCACCAGTCATGACCCCACTGCGCTGCTCTTTGCATCTCAATTTCTCAATTAATTTTTGGGCATCCCACCAGACAGCAAGAAGTGGAGCTGGGCTGTTCTCAGCGGTGGCAGATGACAGAACAAGGAGCAACGGGCTCAAGTT